ACCTAGGCATGTGCCCTTGACCAGAATCAAACCCAGGACCCTTCAGTCCACAGGCTGACGCTCTATCCACTGAGCCACACCGGCTAGGGCAAGAAGTTCTAAATCTGTGCTGGTTTCAGTGGGAAGCTTCTGGAAGGTTTGAATCAGAAGTATGCGTGCATGTGTGTGCGTGTGTGTGTGCGTGCATGCATGTGCATGTGTGTGTGTGTGTGCATGAGTAGGCACATGCCCATGACTAAAGGAGAGAATATGTGGTTACATTTTCTAAAGGTCACTTTGGTGGCTGTGTGTACAGTAGACTATAGAAGGAGCCGGGCTGGAGGCAGGAGGACCCAAGAGGAGGCGCTTGCCGTAGTCAAGGCGAGGGAGGAGTGTGTGTTAGAATGTAGTTTTAGCAGCTGAGACAGGAAATAAGTGGGGTCAGATTCAGGATATGTTCTAAATGCTGAGCCAACAGACCTTCCCAATGGATTGGATGTAAGAGCAAGAGAAGAATCGTGGTTGAGGGGCCTTCGTGACTGGGCTGGTAGCCGTGCTATTTATGAAACTGGGGAGGAACTGAGAAAGATTTGGAGAGGATAATCAATAACTCTATTCTGGGCATTATAAAGGCTTATAAACTATCCAAACGCAGGTTCAGCGGGCAACTGGAAATATGAGACTTGAGCTCATGGAATAGGCCTGGGTTAAAGACATCTTTGAGAGTTTTTAATATATAAAGGAACAGGACAAGAGAACGTGGACATCTGATATGCCTTTTTTACAACAAAAAAAAGATAGGTGATAGATAGATAGATAGATAATAGATAGAGGTCTTAGGCTGAAATGAGCTTATAGGAGTTGAAAATTCAGCTTTGGGATCCAATTTCCCACCCAAACTCCAAAAACTTCATTTTCTTTTTTTTCTGCCTCAGTATTCCCACCTAAAACTAAAAGAATAATAGCACCACCCAACGGTTAAGTGAGAAATAAGTGCTCCCATTCTCCCCAAGATTCAAGAGGCCTCTGGGTAACACTTCCCCGTAACCCCGTCTCTAAAGCAAGTTCCTCTACAGCAGCTATTCCAGACTGACAAGATCCTGTTCCGCCGTTTTCTCTGACAGCCTGTCACATCCCTAAAACCACCGGTACAAAGAGAGCATGGGGGAATATTAAGGAATTCTCTACATCCGAAAAGGGCTGACTTGTTTTATGCTCTCTTAGCAGCCACCTATTAACCGCTGGAGAAACGTTAGACATAATTCGTGAGAGGTGTCCTTTTACAAAGCAAGATTCCCCTCTCTCCTTGAGAAAAACATGACCAACTGCAGAAGCTAGGTTCCTGCCACAACGTCCCCTGACCACGGAGCGGGACCCCGTCATTCCCACGCCCAACTAGAAGGCCCGAAACGATAGGGAGGAAATACATACGGAGATCTGAGCGTTGCGGAATGGATAAAACTCCGATACGATTTAGGTTGTTTAAAAATAGACTAACACAATACACCATCTTTCCTAACGGTGTACGCAGAAGGGCTCTTGAAAACACACATGACACGGAGAGGAACGGTTCCCAGGCGGGAGGGAACAGAACTGGAAGGACAAGCGGAGATTTTAACCTTCTCTTTCTTATTCTTACATGAAAATTCGATGGTGCGTTCGTTGCAAATTCGAGTTCAAGAGAAACAGAGAGTGAGAGAACTGATGGGCTCAATCCTAAAGACAACCCCAGGCCGGGGGTCCCGAAGCAAACAACCCCACAATAATGACGGGCGAGGTGGAAAGAGGGGAGCGAGGCGCTTCCCCCATTTACCGGATCGTTTCTTTGACTTCGAAGAGCCCTTGGATGACTTTTTGGGCTTCTTTATCCGTTGGTACTTCAGAGCCTCCAGCCTCTCAGGTGCAGCGGCGTTCCCGGGGGCGGGTGGATGTGTCCTGCAGAGGAACAATCAGAGGGGGCGGGTCAGCCCCCGGACAGGGAGCCTTCGAAGCGGGGCTGGAAGAAAGCCCAAGAGCCGGCCTGTCGGACAGAGTGCAGTTCCACGGAGTCCCAGACCCACGAGGGCTCCCGGCCCCTGGCTCTCTGTTGCGCCTGGGAGGGAGAAAGGCCAGTGAGAGCTGCAGCTTCGGGGGTGCCCACCTCGGGTGGGCGGGCCTGCCGAGCAATCAGAAGACCTAGGAAAGGGAGAGAGACTTTAGTAGGGGGCCCATCACACAGAATTCAAGCCGGAGGAGTGAGGTTCGGAGCAGGAAGCTGCTTCAGCGTCTGAAGTTCTGAGAAGTCATCACCATCAAGACCTTTAAGAAAAAAGTAAAAGTGCAGATTAAAGCGGGAGGTGGGCAACCCCAACCCCCACCCACTGTCCTCCTCCAGAGAAGAGAAGGCCAGCGCCAAACAAGAAAGCCGCCTCCAGGCTCCTGCTCTCCACGCACCGAGACTTGGGGAGAACCCCGCAGCTAACAGCACCGATACTCGTGGCCTCCCTGGCCCTCCACAGGCTGGGCTCAGACTCCTTCAGTCGTGTAAGAGAATAAACGAAAGGGAGAAGTAGATTGTGATGGTAAGAGAGTCCAAATCCGCAGCCTTGCAAAGCCCATGACAACTGTAGCAAGAATCCCATGAATCTCTCTATTTTAAGATTCAACAACGGAGAAACAGAGGTTGTTGGGTGAGGAGACCATGCCTCGTGGCCTCTCTCTCTCCCCCAGCCGAGTGGATAGTGCCATGCACCTGGCGGACCAAACGCATGATTAGAACCAAGTCGATGATTTAAGTGAAGCCCGTGCAGCCCAGGTGACAGAGGGGACCGAAGAGAGCTGAAGGACGACTGTCTGTGACCATCTGTGCACCCTGGAGAGAATTTTTTAAGAGCCGTAAAAGAAGAAAATCTAGAAGATGCATTATCAATGGCGTTTCTTCACAACGTGAGCCAAACGTGGAGCCTGAGGGACAAAGTCACTCTCTATCCCACCAGTGCCGGCATCCGCACGCGGTCAGTCGATCTGGGAAGCTGAGACCTCCCAGGGCCACGGGGAACTGCACTCTTGCCTCAGCCCCCTCAGCTCCCCCTTCCAGCTCCATCGCAACTGGTCTGTGGTAAATCCTGATGCGAAGGAGTAGGACAGACATCCTGTGACGAAGAAAGGAGTCCTCAGCGGTGAGCAAGCAGTTCGAGGCATTTTTAAAACAGGAGAAGGGACGGGACGATCGCAGCTTGGCGGCCCCAACACGGGATTGTCTTTGTGGGAAGGCGGGAGAAGAAACTTACAGACGAACGAATGTAGACACGCCTCTGGCCTCTGGGGTTTCCTGCAAGAATTGGCAGTGAAGCAACCTTCCTCTTCGTGGGTGGATGGCATCACTCCATCGCCCTTCAGCAAATAAAGTATCAAGAAGCGCCTCCAAAGTTCAGGTCTGGAGGCGACGTCTTGGTCTTCCACGGCCCCTGACAGCACAGGGCTCAGGAGCCCCGCCCTCCACGCGCACAAAGGCACTCGGTCCAACTCACCATGAGAAGGCAGGTCTCCCACCCCAAACACCCAACCTGCCAATCCCCCATTCCTTCCTCCTTCCCCAGCTCTGCAGTCTACCCACAGAGATCCTCACGGCAGCAGCTGGAAGGGAAGGGGGAGGCGGGCACAGGGTGGAGATGGCTACGGCAGGAGGGGCAGGACGCTCCAATGCTGGTGGGGTGTCCTCACCCCTTCTCAGTCTTGACTAAGGTGTCTGCGTGGAAGGAAGCTCACAGGTATACACCTGCTGTGCGGTTTGCCTGTCTCCAGGGCCCAGCCAGCCTCCTGGGAGGGACCCCGCACAGTGAGTGATGCGTGGTCTGCGTAGCAAGTGCGCCCAGGAAGCAGCGCTTAAAAACATCACCGTCAGGGCTCGAGAGACTCTGCAAATTCTATGGATTCTCCAAGCCAAGTGACACCTCCAGGGATGTTTTCATTATTACGATCCACAAATTGTCACTACTCCCGTGTTTTATCACATAGCATCCATTTACCACTTACCAGGCCAGGCACGGACCTACGTTCTCTACAACAATGTTCTTTCATCCTTACAACAACCCTTCGGGGTAAACACTACACAGTGGCCCCATTTTTCAGAGGGAGAAACTGAGGTGTGAGGCCAGGTAGCTGGTCCAATTACCCAGTGACTATGTGACAGAGCCAAGATTCTCAACACCAGGCGGCCCTATTTTTCCAAACTCTTCCTAATAAAGCGGGTAGAGAAGTCACCCGCAAAGGAAAGTCCTGCTTCCACGTGTCATTTGAGAAATCAGCCGGCCAGAAGGAACTCGCTGAGGTCATCACTGACAATCTCAGCAGTGGGGGCAGAGCCGGGCTGAGACACACCTGGGGTGGGGCAACGCTGGCTGCTCCGGGCAAAAACTCCCAAACAATCCTGATCCGCTGAGGATAAGCTCATTTTCTCTTGGGAAACAGCCAAGCTTGGGCCCTGCCAGGACACCGGCTGGTCACCTGTCCCCACTTTGAGCTCAGCCCTCAAACGCAGAACCACGACAGAAGGCCCCTGGAGGCACCAAGACACTCTCCCGAGGCAGAAAAAACCCATAACCAAGAGTCCAGCGGGACAGTAGGGAGGGAGGGTGAGAGGAGGGCAAAACAGGTCTTTATTTTTAGTGAATTACACAGAAAAGATACGTGACATGTGCTCCAACCAGCTTCATCCGCCACCTGCCAAGCCCTTTGGAATCAAATCGCCTCCCTTTTCTAGGAGGGTGACCATGTCCCCGTCGAGGTCAAGCTCACCTGGGGCACTTCCAGGTCATGAGGCCCAGGGCGCTGGTGTCTCTCGGACATAGGAAGCTTGGGTTAAGCAACTCCATCTATGAAGGTGGCAAGTGCACCTGAGGTTGGCTGGCAGGTTCCCTATCAGGACGGAATCCAGCCCTGGGCTCTCCGGGAAGCTGAGCTCCCAGCTCCGTTCCTGACCAGTCCCTTCTGCTCAAGTGTCCAGGAACCCGCAACTCTGGGTGCTCCGTCTCCCAAGGAGTCGGAGTGTTACTGAACGGAGAAGGCCTCGGGCTCAGGGATTTTCCTGGATCTGCCGTATCGCCTTCCCCAGACACTGCCAGTAGCATTTCTCTGCAGGTCAGAAGTACCCAAAATTGCCTGGAATTGACTTGATATACCTCTCTCTCTCTCTCTCTCTCTCTCTCTCTCTCTCTGCAGGTCAGAACTACCCAAAATTGCCTGGAATTGACTTGATATCTCTCTCTCTCTCTCTCTCTCTCTCTCTCTCTCTCTCTCTCTCCATAAAATCCATACAAAATCCAAATCATGACCATGCAGCTAAGCTTCCCTTAGCTGTTTAGCTCTATGCTGGCCCAGAGGAGTGGAGAAAAAGACCTCCTGGTTCAAATGTAGGCAGACACAGGACAGGAAAGCCAAAATCCAAATCCATTAAGGATATTTCCTGCCCTTAATGCCCACAGAGCAGACCATGAAGACACCATTCTCAGCAACCCCTCCAGTCACCAGACAGACGCACCATTTAAAGAGCACTTGCCTCCTCTTTCCTAACTGCCCGAGAGCAGGCTCGGCATGTCTGGTTAGACCCTGCGGTTGGCGGGCTGAGGGAATCCACACACGTACACGGTGTAGCCAAGGAAAAGGCAGGGCTATGCTCCACGTACTAGTACAAAGCAGGAAGCCAGGCGCCTGGCTGGCAGCTGCTCCGCTCTCTGCCCACAGATGGTCCGTTTCTAGAGGGATCGGGGCACCCGCCAAGTGCTTGGCCTCACAAGTCAGAAGCTTGTTCCAAATGGGAGCGCCTTCCCAGGGCTCCCCTAGGAAAAGGGGATCCCTCCACACTCCCAGACCCACCTGCATGTGCAACGGAGGCCAAAGTCGGTATTAACGGGAAAGGGGATCAGAGGGAGCTCTGAGGATAGGGGTGCGACGACTGGTCCCCAGCAGGGAGCTGAGAAAACCCCTCAGCCTCCCAGGCATTCACAGAACAGTCCACAGATACCCCGTGTTGAGAGGGGGGTTGGAAGAGGAGGAAAGGGGAGGGGGGAGAGGAGGAGGAGGGGAGGGGGGAGACACCTGCAGGTGTGGGGAGAAGGAACAGGGAAGCGACTGGAGGAAACAGAGCGAGAACGGACGAAGACAAGACGTGTCACATCTCCAAGCAAGACCGAGTGGAGACACATGCAAAGGCGCAGCGTGAGGACAGCGTCTGACGAGGAGCCTGCGCCTCCCAATGGCCCGCAGCGACCGCACCCCGGAAGC